GTTGTTCTGATGCTGTATTGCTCTAAAGGGTAACGAGACTTTGCACCTTGACTCCTTTCCCCATCTTGTAATGAATTCCTTTTTATTGTGATCTATGTCCAATGGTGATAAGTGCCATGAAGTTTCTGTTTATCAGGGAATCCCATTGGGAAAATAGATACTTCCATTCAATTTTCTTCTTCTGTTGTTACTTCGAAAGAGTAAAGTGAGATTTGATAAGTAGGAGGATTCTTCTTTAGGAGGGTGGGGTTTGTTTTTTGCAAGTCATGCAAAACAGATCTCTTAATTTTTAGTTTGATAAACAAGATCCAGTCCTGCGGTGCCTCTTGTACATTCAGTAATAGATGGGTCTGAAACGAGACTCTAGCAAGCAAACCAGGTATTAATGTGTTTTCACAGCTTCTTTGCCAATTTTTAGTGTTTAATCACTTTTTAAAATCCCCTTGGCTTGTATATTTTAAAACCAAACAAAAAACAACTAAGCCATTTAGAATGCTAGTACATTGAGTACTACTGTTTAGGGTTTTTAAAATGAAGTATTGCTTTGCCAGAGGTGGAGAAATACTCTACCGTGGTTAGATACAGAGGCCAGTGTACGCTATCAGAGGTTGACATTTATTTGCATCCTGAAAGGTGCTGATCTCCCAGCTGATCTTTTGCTGCAGCTGCACCAGAGAAATGTTATTAATACACAGATTCTGTGAACTTAGTGAAATGGGAAACCTCCTAAATCATCTTGAGTTAAAATCAACAGGAGTTGTCACCTGGTCACTCAGCTTTCTCACAGGTAAGGTCCAGCCGCTGCAAACTAATGTTGAGCCACATGAAAAATTAACTTAAAATCCTGGTTAAGTGTGTAATTTAGGTAAATATTAAGAATTACAATATTTGCTTGCCAGTGGCGACTAAGGGATTTTTTCTTTTTTACATTAGTTTTATGTGTTTCTTTTATGTCTCTTTCACTGCTTCTATTATTGAAGAACATGGCCCTTCGAGTACCTCCTTGCCGAGGAGACTGAAGACCAGAGAAGCCTTTACCTTCAGGAAGTATTCGCTGGTACTGTTGTAACAGTTGGTTTGTTCCAGACAGAATACTTCGGCTTGGTTTCTTTGTGCTGTAGCATCTTTTGCAACAGAAGTTTTGTTTAAAAGGAGAAACAAGACCTCTAAGTCCAAACA